CTCTGTCTAGAACATGTATGTATTTTAATAATCCGTATAACGTTGTTAGGCGATTCAAAAGAGCTTTGGAAATCATTACCCTAGCTTTAGCTCCCTCGGCCGTTATTAGCGCACAGTGTGTTTCAAGGAACTATCCTACTGGCTTCCTATTTACCTCACCTTGGTGGAGTGTTGTAAATGTAGATTAATGTCTTGCCATAGTGGCAGGGATTCGAACTCCGTACCTAGTGGTTCACTGTCCGGAGACTTATCCACTGTACCACAACACCTCTACGAAAGGAGACCAATAGATCAGTTCATAATTAGGAAAATGTTCAAATGACCCCGAATATCGACACGTTATGCACTTTAGAATAATCTTTTATCACTGAGGTATCTCGCCTCCTCCTCACTTGTCCTATTTCGAATATGACGGCATTTGAAGAGATGCCCATTTCAGGTGACAATTTTTTAAATTATACTCTTCAACACTGACATAAAAAGAAAGAAGAAGCGCACAATTATTTTTCACTTTCCCAGAACTTAACCTTGTCTTTTACAAGTCTACTAGTGATAAGGATGTCTGCTTAGGGGAGCTATATCACTCAAATGCTTCGCTTTTTTATTTTAATCAACTATGATTACTGGGTATTAAAATATATGTTCGCACTGCATCAATTTTCAGAGCAATATTTCATCCTAAATTCGGACTTCATTGGTATTGGTATTGGTATTTATTTTCCATATCACAATATTAAAAACAATACAAAGAAAATGCATGTACATAGTAAAGTCAATGGTGTAGTGAATGGCTGGATAACCCATTCAGCTATGTATGTTTTTTTTCTTCAATGAAGACCTAGCTTCTTCCACAGAGCTAGTTTGTTTTTTCCCTATGATTTTTGGTCGTAAGTTCTATTTTACTTATCTGAGTATTACTCAGAGAAGAATAAATGACCACTATCAGAATGTGATATTCAATAATTTGGAAATAAACCGAACTGAATCGAATGAAATTTTAAAGGGCAATCCAACCTTTTAATAAGTTAATTTGTATGAAGGCAGAAAGATAAGAGAAACGGAATGGCGAAAGTTTTAGATTTATCGGACCAAGAAAAAAAAATGGTTATGAATGTTTGAAATGTGAGATCACTACAGTAGAGCTGCAATACATGGATTGTAAGGTATTCACGGGGGGGGGGGGGTGGGGGGGGGGGGGGGGGGGGGTAAGACGACACTTTTTTTTTTGGGGGGGGGGTCTCGAAATTTCAAAATTTGACATTTTGTCCAGTTGGGGGGGGTGAGGTCACCTTTTTAAGGTCACCTTTTGGCAATTTTTTATTTTTTATTATTTTTTTAATTTTTTTAATTTATCTTTTTTTTAATTCAAAAGGGGAGGGTTTTCCAAAATAACATACAAAAAACATTCACATAAAAAAACTCGAGGGGGGGGTTTAACCCCCCCCCCCCCCCCCCCCCCCCCTGCGTACGCGCCTGGTAGGTGCACACATGAATAATGATTACTAACATGAGCACGTATTTATCTCGATGGGTTTTACAATTTTATCAGACATGCAACTTACACAAAATTGTCGTTTCTATTTTAAAATCGGTACGTATCCATGCAAAAACCGATTCATAGTACTAATAGATTTTTCTTTTTTTATCATTTTCTTTGCCCTTTCTTAAAGTCTCCCTGCAACGAGAATGGGTATTGGATCGGACTGTATCAGCCAGACCCTAATGGTCCATTTCTTTGGTCTGACGGGACACCAGTTGACTACATCGCATGGGGAACAAACGAACCAAATAATTATGCAAACAACGAAGAATGCGCCTTGATTAGTTTGCCCACAGGTTCCTGGCATGACAAACAATGTTATGCAGAACTATCCTTCATCTGCAAACTTCCTTACGTCTGTCATGAAAGAAATATCAAACCCTAATAAACGACAGGGACGATTACCCTAAAAGAAAGCAGATCGGTGAACGATTGAAAGAAACCGGGCAAAAAAAGAAAAAAAAGTATTGAATTTTAAAAGCTGAAAACACTATCGTATATGTTTGGGCAATTTAAACTGTAAAGGAATCGGAAAATTTCACTGTGATGATGTGCGGACAATTTGCCGATTGGTTTTATACAACATGAATAAAATGTCAATTTGCCAAAATATATGACTTAGGAGGGCCTAGTAGTACTTATATTCTATCAATAATATATATTAAGTAGTGCCCCAAAGGAAAAGGCGCTTAGGAGAAACACATAAATTGGTGATATTTGTGTACACGGCCAACGGTAGTTGTCCGTTGTCCACGACTACGTCCAGTGGCTGATCCAGGTGCTAGGGGGCGGGCCCCCCTCCCCCTGGGGAGAAAAACGTGTAAAACACGTTAATTTTACCTTTTTTGAGAGAGATGCCCCCCACCCCGGCGCTCAAAGGAGGGAGGGTGCGATTTTTCTAATTTTCGAGGGCCAAAAAAAAGACACAAATTACAATTCCCTCAAAACAGTCTTTCTCATTTCAGTATCAGTTTAATATTAAGGGAGTTTCGCCGTGTTGCTGTAATAAGTACAGTAATATCTTAGTTTTTATTTAAAATTAATAAACAGACTTTGACTATTATACTCTCTACCATCACAGAGAATTTGGATATACAGTATATATATTATGTATTGGCGTAAAGTTTACATTAAGTTTATTACAAAAGTTGTTTTTTCTTCAATATAATAACCTATAACTAATGCTTTTTCATTAATATTTATTTTCTCAAGAAAGTAATTATAAAATAAGTTTTCAATAATTTTCCTAAAAAATCGAACCTTATTACATTTCATCAAAACATGGAAAGTTGTTTCTGATTCTTTACATATATCACACTGGTCATTGTCCATTATACTCCATCTGCATAGGTCATGTTTGGATGGGAAGATAGTGTGCAATACTTTAAAATTAACTCATTAGCTCATAATGTTATTAGTATTATTATGACCATCATTAATGTTTTGTAGAACACGTACTTCAGAGAAGAGAGTTTATGTAGGAAGATAAAAAAATCAAATCTTTCAAAAACAGTTCTCGCATTATTGCATATACAGTAACAGTCAATCTACTAGTCATCAATTGTAAACAGACATACATTGATGATGAAATAATCTTGAATTAATATTCAGTATCGACTATTTATCAGCCCCATTCGTTTTCAATTCTTATAACGTAGTGTAAGAAGCACATCTTCTTCATATTAAATTGTTTTGATCTCATATAAACAATCTCTCGTTTATATGTTCGTCTTCGTTGCTACTCTTCTGTACTTCTCATCATGTCATTCTTATTTCAATCATTTATGAAAAGGTAACTCAATGAAGTGTGATTTTTTTTTTGTGAATTGGGCGATAACGGGAAGATGAATTCTAAAAGAAGAGGTATTTCCAAAAATACCATGAGAAAAACAGGGTATTGTAAGGAAACCTAAAGAAACAAGTACACAATCCTAGGACATGTTGTGCAAGTAATTCTAATACCTCCTTTTTCATTATTGTCTTGTTTCAGTTTGTCCGATATTAATTCAAATTCATTCGAAAAACATCAGAAGTAAAACAAAACGTGCAATGAATAAACGTCTCCGGTATAACTCTATAAAACGTCCAATGGCCAATTGAAATGCTCCAACGTCTCTGACGTCAACATGGAAAGATGTTCATTGCACCAAAGTGAATGGTCTCGGCTCTTTTTGGGCCTTGTCGAGCCTCCTGTGATTTTGAGATAAACCTTGAAGATCTCGATAGCTCTCTTGTACTTGTAAAGGGAATACCCAGTATCGCTTAGCATTGAAGAAGTAGGCTGCAAGATTGATGCAGTGAATATTATTCATGTATTTAGGAAAGAAGCAGAAAAAGAGACAAATATAACAATTTTTTGTCCTTTGCGCCTTGTACATATTAATATTGAACTGACGTGTTTCACAAACATTATCATTGCTCATATGTTGTAATTAGAATTATTATCACCATCATTCATGTATTGTAAAAAAACGTATTTAAGAGTAGAGAGTATATGTAGGGAAATATAGAGATAGATATCTTACGAACACAGTTCTTGCATTCTTGCATATAAAGTAACAGTCAATATAATAGTCATCAATTTTAAACAGACACACATTGATGATGAAATAATCATTGATTATTATCAGGTATCGGTTTTCAGCCACACATTGATGATGAAATAATCATTGATTATTATCAGGTATCGATTTTCATGCAGCCCCATTTGTGTTCAATAATTATAACATAGTGTAAGAAGCACATCTTCTTCATATTAAATTGTTTTGATCTCACATAAAACATCTCTCGTTTATATTTTCGTCTTTTTTGCTACTCTTCTGTACTTCTCATCATATCATTCTTATTTCAATCAATTATGAAAAGGCAACCAAATGAAGTGTGAAGGTTTGTTGTGTATTGGGCGATAATGGGAAGATGAATTTTAAAAGAAGACGTATTTAAACAAATACCAAGAGAAAAAAGGCTAGGGGAAGGAAAACATTATTATAATAGACAAGTACACAATCCTAGCACATGTTGTGCAAGTGTTTTTATGTGTGTGAGTGTGCGCGCGTGAGTTTTAATTAAGATTTTATAGACGTATCAGATAAGTAATTCTAATACCTCCTTTCAGGCGCGGATGCAGGATTTTATCGAGGAGGGTGGGTTAAAATTTCAAAACACGCCGATTTTTAATTTTTTTTTTTTAGTCCTTAAAACTCAGCCAGCAGCTGGATAAGCGGGGGGGGGGGGGGGGGAGGGGGGAGGGTAAGAGCACTTTTTTTTTTTTTTTTGGTGTCCCAAAATTTGGCCGATCGATTTTTCGTTTCGTTGGGGTGGGGGGAGGTCAGCTTTTTTGGGTCACCCTTTACCACAATTTTTTTTGTTTTTGTTTTTGTTTTAATTGAAAAAATACAAAAGGGGGGGTTCTCAAAAACATACACATAAAAAAGTTAAAGGGGGGTTCAAACCCCCCCCCCCCCTCCTGCATACGCGCCTGCCTCCTTTTATAGTATTGTCTTGTTTCAGTTTGTCCGATATTAATTCAAATTCATTCGAAAAACATCAGAGGTAAAACAAAACGTGCATTCAATGAATAACTGTAACGTCTCTGGTACAACTTTATAAAAACGTCCCATTGTCAATTTAAATGCAACAACGTCTCTGACGTCAACGTGGAAAGATGTTCATTGCACCAAAGTGAATGGTCTCAGCTCTTTTTGGCCTTGCCGAGCCTCCTGTGATTTCGGATGAAGGGGACCGAGATAAACCTTGAAGACCTCGAAAGCTCTCTTGTACTGGTAGAGGGAATACTTGTACAGCTTAGCATTGAAGAAGTAGGCTGCGAGGTTGATTCTGCATAATAACAGCAATAAAACAAGTAGCAAAAAATCAATGTGACAGAGAGAGATAGAGAGAGAGAGAGATAGGCAGACAGAGAGAGAGAGAGAGATAGGCAGACAGAGAGAGAGAGAGAGATAGGCAGACAGAGAGAGAGAGAGAGAGGGAGAGGCAGAGAAAGAGAGAGAGAGAGAGAGAGAACAAGGAGTAGAGTGAATACTTGTACAGCTTATTATTGAAGGAGTAAGCTGCGAGATTGATTCTGGAAATGAAGTAGGACGATTAAACTAATCGATTTGTTGTTTTGTTTTTTACCAGACAATATGAGAATGGGGAAGACAACATAGGATGTGCGTGTGCTTGTGAGTTTGTGAGTGCATGTGTGCCAGAAAGAATCAGAGAGGGATATGTAGAAAAGGGATCAATTCAAGAGATTAGATGAGTATGTGAATCTGAGATATACAGCGAGTCTTAAAATAGATGGTTTGCTTCCAAAGTCCAACTAAAAAAGTATTTCAAAAGCATCGGATTGTATGGTGTCAATTGAAAGACGATATTCTCTGCTATCCATAGGAATGAAGCTTGCCTGAAATTATTTTGATATACATCTTTTGGGCGACTTTTCCCACCTTCCAATTTCATTTTTCTTTAATGAAGTGTAGAGAGGTGAAAGAAGAAATAGGCAGACTGCCGTATGATAAAATAAATACAAAACACTGTTTTGCCGTAACATAACACTGGAAGACAAATTTGTAGACTATTCAGATAGGTATGGGGAAACCCGTACAATTCAATAATTTCACTCATATAGTGCTCTTACAACTTGAATTTGTGTTATAATGAAAGAGAGAGAGAGAGAGAGAGAAGAGCATGAACATTTAAAGAAAAAAAGCGAAATAGACTGTATCATTGTTTTTCACGTTTTTCATCTTTCAGATATATACCTAAAGTATACTTTCAAAAATGCCTTTGAGAATGCTAAATACCTGACAGATGCGACGTCGACGTGTACAGGTCCATATGCATCAATGAGTATCGCCAAGGCCTCAACAAAAAATGGTAGGGCGTCCTCTATAGTTGGATCTAGCTCCATCAGAGCCAAGCCAATGTTATTCAAGATGGTCGCCACTCTTGGTTTCCCCAGCCCCGCAGTGCGTTGTGTCTCTACAATGTCGAGAATATGATATTGCAAGGCCTCTGTCGCTCTGCCTTGCTTCTGATATAACTCTCCAGTCTAGTAAGGTTCAATCCAAAATAGTAAAGGAGGCAGCGTTTACTCAAGTATTAATAATTAAATATACAGTTTCATAAAATATGTATCTGAACAGGGCCCTATGTTAAATTTTGTATTAGGAAAACATAATTGTCATAAGGATCTAAAATTTGTTCCTATTTTCACGAAGTGACGGTAGTGAGGAAAATCTGCACGCAATTGTATGCGATTTTCATTCACCACCGTCACTTCGTGAAAATAGGGACGAATTGTGTGGAACAGTTATTAAGGCTATGATATGCCGTGGTAAAACCCCTGTTTAGCTCCAGCTTTATAAACATATCACATATTGTTGATGAAATCCCATATTTTTTTAATTCTCCAATTCAAGAGATTTGTATCGCATTTCCTGCCTTTCCATAACATTTCCAGCATTTTTTCTCTTCTGATTGCTAAGATATCCGGAACCTTTTGACAGTACATGACTCAAAACGTTTGTTGGAATAAAGTGATTTACCAGTCCGTTCAGGGTTGCAACATAGTGATGGTTCACCGGTACAACCTGGTTGCACACCTCAATGGCCTTTAAGAAGAACCGGTGAGCTTCAAAGGGTTGTGATGTCACACCATACACTTGGCTGAAAGAAAAACAGAGAACGAGAAAGATAGAGAGATAGAGATAGAGAGAGATATATATATATATATATATATATATATACAGGAACAAAGAGGAGAGAGACAGAGAAAGAGGAAACCTTAAACTAAGCATATTATTACATGGCATATTTGAAAAAATCTTGAAACAAATTTCAAAGAATACAGAGAGAATTTGTTGAAAATTGCTCTCGGCAAAACAATGTGGCTCATAGAAGGTTGAACTCATTTGTATTGTTGTTATTATATATGCATGATTTATTGAATAAAGAACAGATTTATATTTTTTGTGTTTAGAATAAGTTTCAGTTGGTAATTTTAAGTCAGACAATGGTGCGCTTAGAAACACCCGTATTAAGCGCCTAATAAATGTTATGAATTATTATTATTATTATTATTATTATTATTATTATTATTATTATTATTATTATTATTAAAGGATCCATTGTAGCTAGCTTTGTAAGATGAAAGAGACTGGTTTCAATTACAGTATAGAGACTTGAGTCGGCCTTACAAATAGCGACAAGCTCTAACGTACAAGGAAACCCTTATTCCTCGAAAGTTGCCTAACCTTATTAGGTTTAGGTTTAGGTTTAGGTTTACCCCCCCCCCCCCCATAAAAGGTGCATAGTGTTAATCCAGTATGGAGTGGCAAACAGCAAGCTCTTTGTCCTAAGCAAATCGTCGGCATTTTTTAACAAAACGTCCCAAACCTTACAACCCAGGTTCATTGTGAAATTGAACTAAATTTCGTTCCTGACCAGATCATTTTCATTTATCTATATCGTTTCACAATTACAATAATTCAATATATATTTATGGTATTAACACTTGGCAATCAATAAATGAATCAATAGTTAAATCAGTGAAAACGCGGTTCGTGTTCAATAATATTTTTCCAAATGATTGATACTCTTACCCGAGACCAGTAAGCGCCTTGACCATCTGGAGCCGTTGGTCAACGGAGTCAGGGTGAGAAAGCCTTGTGAGGGCGTCCTCGAAGTAGGCAGCGGCGGCAGTGTAGTCTGCTAACTTCTGACACACGATACCCAACTCAAGCAAGTTCTGACACGAATGATAGTTAAAAATGTACTCATAGAAATATATGTTAACCCTCAATATAAATGCATTGTTCCATTAATGCTTTGAACAGCTGCCATTTAGTTAGGAAGGAAATCGTGATATAAGGTAGGGAACAAATCTGTGACAAGGTGGCGAGCCGAGTATGCCTATATAAGTAGTAGCGTTTTATTTAATGTAAATGTGTTCATGTGAACTACTACATAACAGATCAACCTGTGTTATAATATTATTTACTGCTATGTGGAACACTGTGGATCACGTGGAAGACAAAATAATTTCATACAATTTCAATAAAGAAAGATGACTTCATTGAAATCTACGGTTATTTTATATAACAAGATTCATCGCCGTAACTGGTTACACAATAATATTATGATGCAAGTAAATTATAAGGCAATGATTATGCGTAATTTTTAAGCTAGATATGCTGACGTGAAGTACATGGCATTTTCTTAATTAATTATCTTCCTTTGACGCAAAATCTAAATATTTCTCTTGAAATAGTCTCACCTCAATGACGTCACGATGTCTACTTGTCCTCTTGGTCTCATATCTCACGTGATGTGTCACATGACACACGTCATTTCTAGCATGAAGGTCCTCCAATGTACTCAAAAGTCTCTCATTTAATTGCCTGCATGTAGATATAAGCACATTGATAACGAAGAAATGGATGAGATTTGGAAAGTTTAGGCCTATAAAATCTGTTAGATCATTATTTGGTGACCCGACATTGCCTCCGACGAAAATAATTATTGCTCCGGGTATTATTTCATCAAAGGTACAGGGCTTTACGGTAGGTGTTAGGGTAGGTGTTAGGTATAGTGATTCGTCTAGGGTTGAAGTCAAGAATTCGGTTAGTGCAGGTAAAATGAAGAGGAGCAATTTTTCCAGGAGTAAGTGTCGTAAACCCCTGCAAAGTCAACTCGGTAAACGAACAAGTATAAAATAAACTGCTAAATAATTCAAAAAATCTTATTTCGACCTGTTTTCAAGATTTATTTTGAATTTCGTCTAGTTTTCCATACACTTTTAATATTTCTATTGGAATTTTATAACCAAGAGAGTTGTTATGCGATCAAATTAATACATTTCTTACCTGGCAATTTTGAGGATACCAAGCTCTGTGAAGAAGTCTGTGAGACAAGCTAGAAGGGACTCCTTCTCCTTGACCTCCTTGAACGCATTAGAGTGGTTGACGTATTCCAAGTATGCCTGGCCTGCTTGCTCAAAGCCGCCAAGCTAAAAAGAAATATATTGGTAAGGCATTAATCATCATTACCAGGTCCCTCGGAGAGGACCTAAAGCCGTCGACCGTCTGGTTGCTTACTTACAAGCATTTATGCTTTCTTAGCAGCCAGGTGAAATAACCGCCACCACATAAGAGTGATGAGAATAATCAATTGTCAGGGCTCACAACGCATCAAGCTTTGCTCATCTTGGAGCCCTGGCCAGGTCTTTTTTTAATTATTTGATACATAGATATTATCTCCACGTATGTTTTGATGTATACTGATTTTATAATGTATTCAGAACTGAAACAATAGAAGAAAATGGAGATTATACGAATAATAATAAAATCGTGCATGATTTGCTCATCAATGGCATATATATTTACCTCGATATTCATTTAATTTCCATATAAATCGTCATACATATACAAACGTTCAGCACAAACAATCTTACATAGTAAAATATTTTTAAAAAAGAGGGATCGACATAAACACAGATCTAGCTGAGGTCCTCATCATGAATAAAATGCTCATGCAATGAATATACAGTTTGTAAACAATTCATAGCAAGCTTTTTATTCAGTTTCGTGTAGTTATCAATTATGATACAGTTTATATTCGATATCAGAACCATTTGGAGGTATGGTAAGATTTTGACGTTAGCAAATAAAGAAGAGAATACTCGTGATTTTAAATCAAACAATTTTTAAATTTTAAATGGGCAATAGACCAAACAGGTACTAGACTTAATGGAGATTAAACCAAACGGGAATAACCCTTACCATTCTCCATGCTTGGATGAGCCGCACCTTACCCTCTGATGTCTTCATGAGAAGTTGGAAGGCCTTGGGGATCATTACCACCGCCTTGAGTCTTGAGAGGTCACTCACCTCCATCAGCAAGGTTGGTAACTCCTCCACCTTTAAATAGAAGAATTTCAATATTGATAAATGATAGGGTGGGTGGGGTTTGGGGTTTTGCTCCTGGGTGGGTGGGGGCATGATACTGGGTTAACGATGTTGTTTTTATATTACACCAATATGTTAAGATTTTTAATTTGTGATATATCATTTTCTCTCATATGTTTTGTATTGTAAACTCGACCCCTCGGTAAACCAGCTGTGCTGTTATTTCTCATCATGTATATAGTTATTTATATGTTTATATTGGTGAATAAAATTAAATAAAATCAAACCTGTAAGGAATCGGGAAATTATTTTATTATTTAGTATTCACTTAAAGGTCACGCGATTTCATTATCGAACAGTGACATAGCCTCCTCCGAAATATTTATATATAATTTTTAATTTTTTTTCTATTCATATTTTTTATGAAGGGTTATCAGTTAATAAGATTTGATCAAGTTTTTACTTATAAAAAGGATATTAAGAATAATGTTAAGATAAAGTTCAAAGCTTTTAATTTTTATCTTTTTTTCTTCGATACTCTTTTATCAATTCATGCTGATTTGTATATACAATTCTTTTTCAAATCCTTATCACATATGTTTTAACATCTGTCAGCGATTTAGAGAGATTAAAAAGAATATGCTATGATGAAATGTTCAGCCCTGTCTGCAAATTTGATCTGACACTTCTAAACCCTACTCTCTCAGGTGCCTTGATGATAGCCATGCTAGTCTCGTGAATTACAGGTACAATAATTAATTCCCTTTCATGATGAAATAATGCATCGTTAATTAGTTATACATACATATCTTTCGTTGATGTCCTGTTTCTCAAAGAACTCGGCTAGTTTGAGGAAGCCTCGCCTCTTATCTGCCGGGATCGAGACGTACTTGCGCTCTACGGCCTGGCGTAGATGATCGTGAAAGAAGTTGACGATGCCGTTCCGATTGACGAGGTTTTCTTCGAGGGAGAGGTAGAATGGCGACCAAACACGGGATGGAACCTACGACAAAAAGAAACATGGAGATAAAAAGACAAAAACAACTTCTAGATTAAGTTCTGACTTTCCATCAGTCCTAGTTCAGCCAGGCAATGTACCCCCAGAAGGGTTTGAAACAGTTATTGACAAACGTATTACCTCACTCAAAATCAGTTTTTCCCATTCAGTTTTCCTCTTTTTATATAATGGTGCACATAGAAAATGTCTAAAATGGCAAACAATTAAACCAACTGTTTATTCTTCCTGGGATTTCTCACCTGCAGAAATGATATAAGTTCCTGTTCACTCATTCCCCTGCTACTGCACCAGATAGCGCAAGTTGTGTCACGAACCAGGTTAGGTCTATGATAAGGAAAGGTTAACGAAAGCATCCGTTTGCAAGTTAAGGATGTTTTAAAGCATGAAATCTGCAAAGTGAAGGAATTTGCATAAAATCATACCCAAACAATCAGAGCTCATATTCATAAAATATCACTATGCCTAATTGTTAACTAACTATGTAATGTAGTTTATGTTATAAGTTGACAAACAGATTGTATACTGAATAACTGAATACTAGTATTGATGTCATTCATAATGGCTCGCGAAGTATTCACGCAATTCTTGAATCCCAAGCTCGTTACAGCGTTCAGGAAAACAACGCACAAATCTAAACATAGACGAGAAACAGAACTTTACAAACCTGTATCGTAGGTAGTATTTGATATTTCTGCCATGAACCGTGGAGGCTGCATGCGAATAATTGGCAATTTCATTACTAATAAATGATGAGTTGTTCATCCTTTAAATGCCGTCTGTATAAGTTCGGCCAAAAGGGATTAGACCACCCAGCGAGGTCACTGACAGGTGACTATCTCATCAAATCAGCTGAATGGTGGTGGTTATTTTAAGCTCTCACTTAACATAAGAAAAAGAGGATTATGTGGGACCAATGGTCACCGATTATGCATTGTTTGCTATACAGAGGACGCAAGTAGCTGTACTGTACGTAGTGCAGTGGGGCTTTAAAAAGGAAAGGAAAAACATAAAGGAAATATTAAAGGACAGCCCCATTTACCTTCCGTGTTCTCCGCGTTCGAAATCGGACTCCAGTCGTTCTAAGACCTTGACAAATAGTTGTCCAGGATCCTGAGCTTCTAAGTAGGTCTTGATGGCTGCCGTGAGCTCGTAGAATGATCCATACACACGAACCTAGGACAAACACAAATAGTTTTGATACTTGGGTAATTATATAGCGCACATATCCACCATGCATGGTGCCCAAGGCGCTCCAACTTTTACCCGGCTCTGCTAGGTAGCCGATTTCGACGCTAACAGCATTCAAGAAATTCCTTCCTACCGGTACCCATTAAACACCTGGGTGGAAAGTGGCAAATGTAGATTAATATCTTGCCAAAGTATTTAGTTGGATCTACATTTTCCCACCTTTATCGAATTTTGGAACGTGCTACGGATTTTTCGACCATCGTCACAAATACAATTTCTATGAACGTAATGACTAACAAAATGGGTAGTCCACCGATTCTCCGAGTGGATAATTGCAAATGGAGATTGATGTATTTCCAAAGGACAACATTGTTGTGGCAGGGATTTGAACCTCGAGCATTGTAGTCCAAAGTTCAGTGACTTATCAACTCGACCACGATATCTCACTATATATTTAGCAAACATTTATGAATCAACTATCAACAGAACCGACCTAATCCTTTGTTGTGGAACCCCTGTACCAATGGAGAGACTTATACAAATCTGGCACGAGAATTTACACTCCGTGTATATATTCCTGCCTTTCATAACGGGTTTAATTCTCTTATGTATTCTTGTACAAGACCTCTTTTTCTGGATTCAGCTATATAATAGCTACAGTAACCTCCGGCCATAATGGCATTGATGAAATACAACTTTCATACACGAAGCCTCAGAAAACAAGAGACTTAAACCGAAATTCAAAGTGAATGTAATTGGATTAGCATGTGCACGCTCTCAAAAATGTGAGTGGCTGGAATATATTTAGCGGAGTGAAGAGAGGGCACTGTTATGTGCAGAACCGTAATTGAAACCAGTGACTGGTATACTATAGTATCAATGCTGCAAATGCTTTGATCGGTTAATTGTTTTTATTTCTTCTTTTCTTTTAATAATAAATTGGAAACAGTAAATATAAACTCACCTCATCTAGCAAGGCTCTAAGGTAGAGAGCGTTAGATGTTTGCTTAGCGTTAACAATCATATCTGTTTGTTCAGCATTCAGACTCTTAGAATAGAGCTCCATGTAGCATCGTATTATCTCCCCTTTCTCTGCCTGGTCTAATGGCTGAACGTGGAAGACTGGCCAGTTAAATGCCTTCACGGCATCCAAAGCCTGTGGATGGTAGTGATAGTCATAATAGGGACTTTTAGATTTGCGTGGACTGATACGTGTGACGTTCATTCAAGGCAGTGCATTAAAAGGACGTCGATCATAGGAATCCCCATTGTCTTCGTGCGAATCTAAAAGTCCCTACTGACTTGATTAATGACAACATTAGCAGGGAGAGATATTTTGAACTACTTCTGAAGATTCGTTTCCCAAAAGGCTTACCGTACATTTTTTAATGTTCATAATTCCCAACAACGCAATTTTCCCATGCAATGTTATTCATAAGTTCAAAAAATGAATAAAGATACGCACTTCCAAAAATGTTGGCACTCCAAAGTTTCATTATTCTCAAGGTTCATTATTCCGAGGCTTCGTTATTCCAAAGGTCCGTTTAACGGAAGGTCCATAATTCCGAATATTGAATACTGTTCATTCTTCCCTATGTTCATTTTCGGTATTACCAACAATTCGGAAAAGGAACATTAAGCCATGAAGTAATGCTCATGACAAAGGTGCCTTCTGATATAATACTCGACACAATATAATAACAAAAAACATTACGAAACAAAAGTAGAAAAGAGACGTTGTGAAAAGGGAACGAAGAAAGATTCTTTTATATACGTAAAGCCATAAACTCAAAGAAATAATATTCATATTTCTTTGTAATGACAATTACTTTACTTAAACTACTTAAATAAACACATTTTCCGTAATGATTTCATACCTTTCCGGGCAATGTAGAAAGAAGCATTTGAACGTTTGGCGGGAGCTCACGAGGCAGCCATTTCAACTCAAGTTCATCACCTGTAACAATGAAAAAGTGGATATATATACATATTTCAGTTAATCACAATAATAATGTTATTTAGAACGGCTAATATGAAATGAGGCTCTCAACGTATTAAAGTAATCGTGATGATGATCTTATGTTCTTTCCTATGATATTTCCTACAGGTGCTTGTTCGTGAAAGATAAGGGTTATGGTTACAGTTGTCATAGTTGCAATTGGGTTTGAGATTAGGGCATAGGGTTGGGGCAAGGTATATTAATGGGTACATGGGTGGAATTAGATTGCTAGATGAGCATGAGTTCCAACGTGCTATCTATCTTGAATGCTCAGTATTTCAGATGAAAAGTACCGAATATAACAATTAGGTTAGGAAGAAAGAAAGAAAGAAAAAAGGAAGAGAAGAAGAAGAAGCAAAGAAATATTACCTTCTCCACCTGCCCCGGAATCCAGTTGATTCAAAGCATCAAGAACAATGAGGACTCGCCGCCCGTAACTCCCCGCAAGAGCTAACCACTTGGGTAGGTCTTGGGCGAGAGATTTGTCAGATGTTGGGATACCCAGTTCAAGGTTGAAATGCTGCTTTAACTCTTCAAACAGTCTGGGAAGCGAGAAAATAAATAACGTTAACTACTAGGCAGTGAGAGGGGTTCTACTATTTTCTGTCAACGTGTCCTGGTATAGTGGTTCATTCACATGACTCTCAATCCATAGGAGGAAGGGTAGAATCTTTTTGGCATGACATTAATTCACGCTTGCCATTCTCCACCCAGGTGTAGGCTGACGATTGATAGGTTAATGATAGGTATAAAGACTGAAAGGGGCCCTTAAGAAGAAAAGCATTGAACCCTAGGTTCACAAAATTATTGTTATTTTTATCATTATCATTATGATTATTAGTATTATCATATATCATTATCATCATAATTAGAGCCAATTCTTCTCTCCCTCTCTCTCCCAAAGTTCTTATACGTCGAATAAAAACCAACCTAACAAGGCCACCTCTTGGGGGAGCGTAAGTGGGAGTTCCTACCTTTTTTTTGTCTTCCTTTTCGTTTTCTCCTTCCCTTAGTTTAATTTCCCTATTTTGTTTTCTTGTTGCCATCTAATGGGCAACGTGTCCCCCCCCCCCTCGACCCCCTCCCCCATAAAAGAAAGGTACGTCTCTGAGTTTATACCTTCTTAGTAATCTAAGATGCGAAGCACTGTCTGCAGAGCTACCAATGAAATGCATGAACATAAAATCATTCGGGTGCTCATCCTCAAATCGGCCACACCAGTTGGCGACAAGCGCCGATTTCCCGCTTCCAGATTCACCAAGAACCGTAAGCGGTAACTTCGGATCCCCGGCAAAGTAGTCGTTGATTCTCGTGAAGTACTCAGCCCGCCCGATGTATACTCTTCGGCGGACTTCAGCAAAGGACAAGTGAGCTTCGCGTTCTTGCTGGAGTGGAGTGAGTTTTGATTCTAGTGGGAACTCCTGGTTGATACATCGCTCCAAATCCTGTTTAAAATACACAAAGAAGAGAAATTATTTCAGGTTCGCTGTAGGCTTAGTTAGCATAAAGGATTTCAACGCTTTATTTATGAAAAATCTATGCCCAATATTTTGTGGATAATATGATCCATGACTGACATCTGAATCATGAGTTTTATATAACAAATTGATGTACATATAATTGTAAGTATTGCAGTACAGACTTCACTCAGCAAGAATGGTAATTCATCCATAAACTTCTTCAATGTTTTAAAATCGGGAAATCATAAAAACAGCTTATTCGCACGTTAGTAGTTTATTTGAGCCAACGTACAAAGGTTTAAAAAACTTGAAGTTCATCCGTCCTCATTTAAAATATCAAAATTTTAATTTTTTTAAGATAAATGCCTACCTTTCGAATGAAGTCTGTGCCTTCATCAGCTAAAGCGTAATGGCGGACTGGCAGACCCGATTCCTCCAAAGTTTGGCGGAATCTTTTCTGCTGATCAATCTTCCATTCAGGCTCATGACTTTTCTCCTTCAGAAGCTCCTCTTTTGTCTGTATTGAAGGAGTGAAAATAATAAAGTAAAGTATAAGGTCAAGAGCCTGTTCACTGCCTTGTTTCATAAAACTTGTTATCAATAACAAATGCTGAATTAAATTTGAAATATAAATTTGCTCTCAGCCAATCAAATGCCACTATTTCAGTAACTTTTATGAAAGAGGGCCCAGGATCAGTCACTCTATTAAGCATTTATTTGATTGTTTGTGTATGAGATAATTGCCTTCACGGGATCGATTGACGCTTGACGAAGGTATTAGCGCAGTGATGAGGATAACTTACTTTCAACGAGCAGAAGTAACATTACGGGGTCAAATTTGGTAGGCATAATAGAGTGACTGTCAAGTGCCCTGTTTCATAAAACTTGTTATCAATAACAAATGCTAAATTGAAATACAAATTTGCTCTCAGCCAATCAAATGCCACTATTTCAGGGCCCAGGGTTAGTCACTCTATTATGCACATCAAATTGTACACCGTAAGGTTACTTCTGCTCGTTGAAAGTAAGGTATCATTTCCACTGCGCTAATACCTGCGTCAATTGACAAACGATCACGTGAAGGCAAGTATCCCGTCACACAAACAATCAACTAAATGCTTACACTTATAATCTGGCTCTTTTAACTATTTTTAATATATTTATCTTACATGGTGAGTCATACACCACATCATACACTGACGCCCTTCCTACGTCATTTAGATGATGCTTCGTGTGTGACATGCTTGATCTTCTAAGAGGTTTTCGACAATAAGAGTCAGTTTAAAGGTAGCGGACGGGTTAAGCCCAGTAGCCCTAATAGCCGACCCCAAAGGGTCGATTTCACCTCATCTAGGAAGTATCTCAAAAGATTATGAAACAACCTAATCCTTGACCTTGACTGGCTTTTAAAAAAATTAACAAAAACAAATAATTCGAGATATATCGTTTGCTCAGAGGCCCTTTCCTTTGGTAAAGGCTTTAGACGATAAATGGCAGTGTGTTTAAATAGACAATATGTATATGACAAAAATTGACACGTTTATCCACCATACAGCTTTTTTACCTTTGCTTGTCTGAAATAGAAGAACGTCTTATCCGATGCATTCTCCCTATCTCGAAGAGCAGAATGAAGGACCTCGAGCTGTAAAAATAACATAGCATTAAAATCTGTTTAGAATGCAGCAAAACAAAGCATATTATAAAAAAATATTCCACTTTTTACTTCATGTCTCATTGGATAACAAGGTCATCGTTTATTTAAGATTTGGCATATTAGATAGATTATATCTTCCACAGCACTGTACATGTAACTGCACAACTGTTAAGGTACGAATATACACCAGACAAAAAGTTGGCCTGTAATTCCACAAAAGGAGAAGAAGATTATTTGAAGTGTGTGCTTTTATAATGTTTGTCTTCTTGCGTATGGATATGCATCGTTTTACGAAATTACCGTGTTGACATAAAACTGGATACATGTATATGAACTAATTTATATTTTTCTAAACGAGTTCAAAGTTTAGAAAAATAGAACCTTTCAGAAGCTTGATCTTGAACAACCCCATAACCTACCGCTAAAACTAACACAGCATCCGATATCTTGGACGAAATAAGCCGCATGAAAATGCCATAGGAGCATGTCTGGTACCATCAAAGAATCATAAGGAATATGTTTATGTTTATTTTAACAGCTTAGTTACAATTCTTGACAAAGAAAGTATGTCGATGTTTGCATGATTTACCTGTGTCACACTGCTATCAAATCTGTACTCCTCGATCCACTTCAGATGACTGAAGTTCTCGATGGCGTAGTCGTAGGATTTGTTGAGGAGTTCATCGACCTCACCTTCCTTTTGACTCCAGCCGAAACGATCACCAAGAAGACAAAGAAAGTAGGGACGACAACGGTCGATCTGAAATCAGATAAATTTAATCAGATAATTTAAACAAAATGCAACAAGAAATCTGAATGTTTGTGGCTTATTTCAATTTCAAAATATGAAAACTTCGACAAGAAAACAAATTTGTATACACCATAATGGTTTCTAAGAATCGAATCTTGTTTGAGAAAGATATCAGCAAAAAAAATTGTGGTAGGATTTTTTGAGGAGTCCATCGACCTCGGCTTCCTTTTTACTCCAGCCGAAACGATCACCAAAAAGACAAAGAAAGTAGGGACGAGATCGGTAGATCTGAAATCAGGGAAATTTCATCAGAGAATTTAAACAAAATGCACAAGAAATATAAATGTTTCTGACTAATTTCAATTTAAAAAATACGAAAAAAATACTTTTTATAAACCATAATGGTTTTCTCGGAATCGAATCTTTACAAAGAAAGTCATCAGCAAAATGCATATCAGACACGAACGCAAAAACCTCGAAAATCAACCGAAGGCAAAAACATAAGCTCTTTCCATCACATATTTAAATGTGCAAACATTGCCACGAGGCACTAAATAATCCGAACAGAATTTCTATAGGATATACAACAAGGTATTGAGTTACCCTTGTGTTGATTTCTCGAATGTCTTTGCAGTCACGATTTTAATGATGATTCAAACAAACTTAAATCATTTAAATATCAATATTCATTAATCCATTCTACCGAGTTACTTTAAAGGTAAAGACCAGTATTGGAAACGCCCCAATTTCAAAAAATGAAAATGAAGCTCTTATTACCAATCATGGGAAAGAATATGTTTTCACTAATACATGATGATAACATTTTGCCGGGGAACCGCCTACTAATTGATATATTTGGTAAATTAGTTTATCTACATGGTCTGTGAGAGATAAACGCACGTGTCGCGCACGTGTGCGTATAGTCCCATATACATCTTTCTGTGTACAGTGCTTGTAACCTTACGAAGACTGGGCCATATTTCTTATCATTTTGATGATTCCAGAACCTAATTGCAGTACACACTAATAGATCTACTTATAATATGCTAGATGATCTACCTTTCTGATCGATTCCACAACGTTTCTCTCACAATGCAATCGCATGACCATAACTGGTCTTTACCTTTAAAACCACGATTGAGTAAAATTCAGGAGTGTATAATTCGTACAGTAAAGGTTATTTTTCTTTCTTTCATTGTCTTTAATCATAATTCTTTATTACATTTCTTCTTTTTGGAGCGGGGGGTTCAAATATGAAATTTAGTAGTCTTATTTTGTCTTATGGATCGTTTCATGCGCTCATGCTTTATACCCGACACCTACAAATGCCAAAAGAAAATGTGACCACACAAACCTCTCTGAGACATATAGAGATGGTCTGGCCATCGTTGCTCTGATCATTCGTGATGCCCCACCGAAGGTCCACATAGCTAAAGAACACCCCTCGATCAAGGCACATCTTCTTCAGTTCGTTGAACACCTTCTTGATGAGGATCTCCCTCTCGGCAGCAAAATCGAGGAAGGTGCTGGAGACGAAGACTCTGATCTCCCGCTTCTTCCTCGGGTTCGTTCGGGCTAGGTCCTTGGTGCCGTCGTGATCAGCGGTGACGCCGTCATTTGGTTTGGCATCATCGGACTTTGATGTGGCGGGGAGCAGCTTTGGAGGTTCTCCTATTGGAACTGAGCCTTCGAAAGATGAATAAGTAAAAGACAATCTAAGAGAAGAAACGATTGCAGGACAAAAGTGACTGATTGAAAAAGAAACGTTCAGAACAGAAGAGCGCACTATTCATGTCTCTCGGTCTTTAGCAAAACAAAAACAAAAAACAGCCAAGGGCGTACAAAAAAGGCTATTGAGATGTGAACCAGAATTTTACATTAAATTTTGATTCTCGATAAGAAGTCAAACTAAGGTGATCAAAGAGAATGAGACGAGAGACTACGTTAACAATCAATTAAAATGAATAAGTAATTAAAGATGTTCACATCTTAACGTCTGTGGATATTTTGTCGCAGTTTCTTGTAGCATTTAGATATGCAACTTTCTGAAATAGCTTAAAATTGCTTATAAGAAGTTCACAAAGAAACAATAATATCCTTGTCAGAGATATATTATTTTAAAATGAAGAATCAAGAGGAATTACTTTCACTTTCCGAGCGATCAGTCGAAGTTGAAAGTCCGTACTTCCGAACCACGTTGCGTATCAGGCTGGCCAAGATCTTGGTGTCTCTGACGATCTTGACATCACACAATGTATCCTTGAGACCAGTCTTATGTGGTCGGCGACACTTCAGCCGCAAAGATGCAGCAGAGATCTCTACCCCTTGACCTGTCACTGATGTTCAAATATAAGAAACTAGCATCACATATTGTCAGATTACCTTTCGCCTTGCAAAATACAACTATATATTTTAGACCTATTTGATCTACCTTTGATATCCTTCTTGCAGTTCCCCTTCTGTATATGTCGTTAAATGAAACAAATATCTTTCCTTCAGAACTTAATAATATGTCATACATGACATCCTTTTTCTTTCTATTTCAAGGATCAACCTCGACCTGTGCTTGAACGTTAGTAGTTGTTCAATCTTTCAACAAACCCGATACACAAACATTTTTATAACAAATATATTTATGACAGAACATAAAGTATCTAGTGTCATATTAGCCCACATTCTGTCCGCTTTCCTTTTTTGTCATTCTGCAATCATCTTTGTCCTCCTCCCTAACACACACCCCTCACAGATCACGTGACCCCCGAAGATGCACTCATCGAAAGAATGAAAGACAAAGACTGCGTTTTAGAGTAAGAGCGTGTTATTTTCTCAGGTAGTTGGAATGGGCAAACGACACGGAAACAGTCCAGTTTGTTGTTGTTGTTGATTTCAGCTTCTTATGGCAATCAGTAAATTTAGGCAGTAGACTTTAGTGTAATATATACGTACCTTCGATCTTGATCTTCACATTCCTTACACCAGCTGTGTATCCTTCCACGGTCAGTTTGACTTTTGACCAACTATCCGACCTGTCCAGTGTTCCGCTCGTACATTTCTCTTGCACCACAGAGCCGTCCGATCCCTCGAGTGTAAACGTAATGTTGTATGTGGCCCCAGAGAGGGCTGGTGACCGTAGCGATATTGAGAACTGTTTAACATAAAGATGATTGATGAAAGGGACAATGGAAGCAACTTCTGGTGGCAAGTACATAAGAAAACCATGATAGAAAAGGGCATAGCGTAGGCCTAGCTATTGAAGTGGGGGAGGGCACCAATGATGAAGGACCAGATAAAATATGTGAGAACAAGGTCATCATTTGATGGGGTGGGGTAAACGCGATTCAAATCATCACCTTTTTTACGTTTTTTTGCCAACCCCCCCCCCCACCCCCTTCTTTCTCTCTCTCTCTCTCTCTCTCTTTCTTTTTTCATGTATTCTGCCTTGGATGACAGGCATATGACACTCCCCCAATGCCCCAACACCCACACACGCGTATGGTCACAACGTTATTGTCAGGAAAGAAATTTATTTGTTTCGCTCTCTGGTCTGGAGTGTTCTTTGTTAAGGTCAGGTGAAGATGTTGAGGTTAGAAGTTTTCTTTTCAGGCCAAGATGTATTGTTCCCTAGGAATAGGCCTGGGGAAGTCATTAATTCAGTGTACATGTTTTATCTGTTGTTTAGCACACATTTAGGAAGCCTCTTTTCAATACAAGTATTTTCCTTTGTAAGATCATTTCCTCTCCAAATATTTGTAGTCATGTTTTTAGAATTTACTTAGTAACCGTAGGGTATATTAAGAGGTGGATTTTCTGCAATCGGAGAGAACCACCTAAGCTATAATAGACTTAACGTCATGTTATAAGTCGGCAATTAAAGACAATATCTGAGGGTAATTCCACGTCGGGACGAGAGGCTAGCTCAACTGCCACCCGGTTCTCCATATCTTTCGTCGGGGGCTAGCTCTTGTCTGGGATCGGGACGCACACCATCGTATCTCAGTCTGCGGAGGTCAAGAATCCGGGGCGACTACCGGGGCCAAGTGGAGCAAAGACGCTGTCTGCGGAGGCCAGGGCCAAGTGGACGACACGAGCTGTGACCGGCGTCGATGTCAGACGGGAAACCACCCATCCAGAATTATTTTGTTAAAGATAAGTTTAATTACATACTGTATTATTACTGAAACCAAAACAAAGTGTGTGAAACAGGAGAAATGATTGGAAATTAAACGTTACAATTTAACTTTATTTAACAAGCTCTATTTCCCTTTATTTTGTGTGTCCGTAGCAATAATAAAAAATAAATAAAAGTCTCTCACGTGACAGTTATAGATGCATCAAAGAGAAAAAACGGGCCTCAATGATTGGGGTACAGACATGAACAAATACACTTTCTTCTACTTGCCTGAACAGGCGGAGCTTTGTCCAGACTACCCCCATCGAAGAAATCTTCAAGGGTCAAGTGATATTCCTTTACACCCTTCTCACCAACCGACACCAGCCCTAAAGCAGAACCAGGGACAAAGGGGTATAATAAAATGTATCACAATAGCAATATGAAAATATAACGGATAGGACGAACTCTGCAACCAAAAGATTAAAACTTTGGTTCAAAACGAGGAGTATAACAGCCAGATAAATAACATTAAAAAAAAGAATAATCACGATAAACGACAAATGATAAACCTTCCTTACTTTCCTCAACTCCATCCCCGCCGTACAGTGATTGCCATTGAGTTGAATCTTGTTCCAGTACCCTTTCCTGCTGGAAAAAACAATTCAGAATTACGTTACTTTTGATTAATAGTGAGGTATGGATTATGTTAACATTATTGTGGATAGTTTTACATCTTACTTTTTCCTTCTTCAGAATACTATTTTCTTCCTACAAGAGCCAATTTTAAAAAATCACTTTCCACTCTGGCTACAATGTCTTTTTTCAATATTTCTCAAAAAAAAAAAACAGTATAAGCAGATGTAAAAAATGATGGCTTCATACGTTTGACAAATAAAAGTACAATGAAAAAACAAATTTCTAGAATTTAGAAAAGATGGTCGTGCCTCCATCCGTTATCGAGAAATTAAATAATTCATAACGATATTTTAATTTTTGGAAAATAAGAAAACTATAAAAATTCCTTCAACCATCTAGTTCAAAATATATAATATTTTGCATACAAAATAACGACATTAATAGAGGAATAATTTCAACCTGAGAAGCCAAAGATAAAGTTATTGAATTTGCTAGAAATTAAATTATTGAAATTAAATTAAACTTCCTACCCTATTCATCCTAAGGATATCTCCCGACCATGCGAGGTTTTTGAGGTCGTATCCGGCAATGTGACGACCGAGAGGGGCAAGATCATCACCAATCTGTACAAAAGCAAGTGAAAAGAAACATGCAATAATAATGATGATATTGGGTATGTATAAAGCGCACATAATCACCAAGAATTATCTCATCTCTGCTACTTTTTCAGTGCTCGCAGCATTACAATAATTCCTTCCTGCCGTTACCCATTTAACATCTGGGTGGAGAGTGGCAAATTTAGATTAATGTCTATCCAAGGGACATCAGTGCGGGACTCGAACCGCGAACCTTGAGATCGTCAGTCCGCATATAATTCGTTGTCACTACACCTGGTGGAAACAATGTTATTGGGCGAACAAGTCTGCACACAGCTAACCCTTGGCCAATCAAGAAATATTCACTCGTCTCTCAGAGAGTCGCGTGATACAAATATCCAGGTGAAATATCAGATAAAGATTTTACCATATAGGGAAAATACTGAGCATCACATAAAGCCTGTTGGTCACTAAATGGAAGGCTATTCCTGGTGATTGGCAGCACCTGTTATTGGGTAAACACCCGAACGGTGTCATTTTCCCCATGAGATCCTACGTCTATTTGTCTTAAAATTCAAAGAGAAGACAGTAGATGAAAACATGATCTATGTCCTACCTCTTGCTTTTGGTCCGCAGATAATTCTAGCTGGTCCTTACGGGGATGGGTTCCATTTGAATCTTCGTCTTGGACGAGGAGACCAGAGAGTTGAACACCACCACCTAAACAAAATGTTGCGAGAAATAGGTTCACGATATTATAATCATTGTAAAGTACTGAAAATAAATTATCAGAGTTTTAATTATTTTGCAATTCAACACTTTCAGAATGTTTTAACAGTTTATATTTATTCCATGGTTAATGATCAGAATAAAGATCGGTAATGAAGTATTTCCATTCACATTTTTGTCATCTCGAATATTATTCTCTTCTGATTAATCTTCGATGTAAGTGATATACTCACTTTCTATATGTGACTTGGTCATATTTATTCATGATTGAGAAAGGTTTTTTTTTGGGGGGGGCGAGTCTGGGGGCCCTGAGTCTCCAAAGTTGTGCCCCTGGCAAAAATCGATATGATTAAATTCCAACATCAAGCCCAATCATAGCTTTATAGTTTATTTTAAAATGGTGAATTTAGTATCATTCATAAGTGACTTACCACGCTTTATGGAGATATCCAGACTATTGCCAGATGCAGTTACGGGAATTGATACTTTCTTCGCAGTGCATCCCGGGATCGAATCGACCTGACGACGTAATTGCTCCTGAATCTAGATTGAATAGGAATGCAATGGCAACGTGACAGATTGATCAGATCAGATAGATCTGACTGCAAATATCATTGAAATATTTCGCGATACACTAAGTGTCAAATTACTACAATGTCTAATCTGAACTATACAAAATAATAAATCGGAATTAATCGTCTGGCTTTGGGAATTCTTCAAAGGAAAATGGCATTTATTAACCTTCTGTTTTAGAGGCGGTAAGTGGAGCAAGACGTATTCTCAGTGGAAAGAATCGTCGTTATGAGATATTGAAGCTTACGAACTAATGATTCATGTTATACCTAGTTTTCTGAACTAACAATTAAGTTTTCTTTAAACAAAACTTCAAGTTGAATTTCTTGATATTAAATTACGATTTTGTTTATGGTTTTACTACAATTGGTATTTCAAAGTTGGCGGTAAGTTGTCTAGAAACAAAGCATTTTAGAGCCAATCAGACAGGGAGACATGTAGAGTACGCAATATGTTTGTTTCCTCGTTTGTCTTTCTGTTGCACAAGAGGAGTCATTTACCTGACGTTAGGACTGTGTCAATGATTGGCTAGGTTTTTAACGCGTCACGTCATCGTACACAAAATGATTGCAAAAAGGAAAAGTGCAGACAACCTTTTGATAATATTAATTGCGTCCACAGGATCGATCAGCGCATTAAATAGCGCAAATAATAGCGCAGGCAATAGCGCATTGAAAATGACGCATTATGTGCAATGGGCATTACCTGAGTTGACACATCCTCTCCGTTTACTAGAGCTGTGACGTCATTCAAACCCGAAGACATCGTGAACAGTGTTACGATAAACCTCCCTTCGGGTACTGGGATCTTAAATTGAGAAGATAGCATCAATGATTGTGAAATGGATGAATAATAAATATTTTTCACTTTTACACAATGCAATTTAACAATAAAAGCTAAAGGGTACATTCTGACATGGTCATAAAGTAGTTAAATTTGCTCAATAATTTGGCTCAGAGTTAAACAAAATGAATTCCTGAATAGCTAGAGAGAAAATATGTCTAATATCCCTTAATACTATTTAGTCAAAGAAATTTCAGTACGAGTAGGAACGAGAGGAGTAATATTTGAAGAAAAAAACAAATCAATATTTTATAGCCAATACCCTACAAGTTTGCCTCGCTTTTCCTTGTAGACAGATTTTCACCCTGCAGTATTAAAACTATCTTTCGTGTCAAATCAATAAGTGATAGAGGCATTGTCATAAATTTAACAGGTTAAAAGGGCTCACTTCGAATCTTCTGGTCATCGCGTCTGGTCGTGTGGTTGCGTTACGTGAAACGAAGACGGAAGATCATGTGACCTTTCGTAGATTTTACCACACCGCCTACAGAAGGGAGGGGTCATTTCACATACACTATCCCCGAAATTTCGTGAATAAAGCGAATGATTTTTTTAAAGACCGCCTAACGCGACCACCCGACCCGACGCGATGACCCGATGATTCAAAGTAAGCCGGCTATTAAAGCAAGTCTTACCTTGAACGCTACAGAATCAGTCTGGCTTGGTCGATTCCCAATGAACGTGGTGTGCAACAGTCCATCTCCTGTGTTTCCGACCACTTGGTGATAGTTCCTCAGTGGATCAATGTGGCAGCCGTAGTAACACCCATCTGCAGTAACAACAACAAAAATGAGATTCTAGGGCACAGTCTTATAAAGAGTTGCGATTGGTCCAAATCAATCGTACGTCCTCCAATCAATCTTAAGTTTGCACTCTCCAATCTCTTATGTACATACTTGCGATTGATATAAGTCACAAATAAGTTGCGATTGATATCAACTCTTTGCAATACGAGGCCTAGATAAACTTTAAAAGCACTGATCGAGGTTTACATGATACATGGAGTGTTTGGAAAGTAAGAGGATATTGTTTTCGATAAGCAACTACGGGCTCTACTTGAACGGCTGAACGACACATGCTCTTGCCACATAATTGACGTTCCATTATTTCCTATAACTCCGAACCTTGACCGAACACTTTATTAATCCAAACCTTATCTCTAGACCTAACCTACAACCCAATTGCAAACTTAACCCCTACTCTTACCCTATACCTTTGGCGAAATAAAGCCCAGAGCAATTATGTTTAACAGGGCCTCATGGAAGACCACCATTGTTGGTGATAATGAGTCACCCTGTCTAAATATCAGAAATAAATAAATAAATGTTATCACACAATGGATTTTCTCACCAGTATCTGAGCAGATAGAAGCTAACGCAGATCGTCCGTCATCAAACACGACTCCATCTTCGTTCTCGTAGGATGGGCCCCCGAAGTTGATGGCGAAGTGTACACCTGGTTTCTGCGTCCTGATTCGACATGGCGAACCCGCCAATTCCACTGACACACCTTTTCTCTCTGCAATATTTTCGTAAGAATGCATTGTCAGAACGCTTGTAAAAATGATCGCACGGTATTATCTTCACTCAAATCTTACCACTGTCACGACTAAACATGGCGAACCTGCCAATTCCACGGACACCTTTCTCTCGACAAGAATTTTGTGAATACTAAATTGTAAATTAAGCAGGTGTTACTATCTCTCTTAATAATGTACGGTTTCCTTGATGAACTAGCACCGCCACCTAACGGACTTGATGCGCTTATCAAACTTTCAGAGAAATGATTTTAAATAACTAAATTTGCATTTAGTTTTGTGTTTGGCAAAACGGATCTTCTTCGACAATCAATCATTTGAAATGTTAGCAAAGGAAAAAAATTCAAGGGAAAGACTTCAAAATGCTACAATACCTTAGTCTTACCTTTGTTTTTTAAGGCAACGCTCGCCCTGAAGACCTTTACACCTTTTCCAGCCTTGATTTCCCTTGAAACGTCTTTCTCGAAGATGAACCGTCCTGACTTTTCCTCCAACTCAGATTCCTGCACGACTTCGACAGCATCGGCGCCCGACTCGACTTTGATTTCGACCCGTCTGTCCATCCAGATGTTCAGGAAACCCTCATCGACTGAAAGATGACCTAGGAACGGAGCATCAGCGCCGGTCACGATGCAATCGCTCTGAAGACATCTCTTGTCGAGGCCATCAAGGTCTTCTGGTGCATTTGAGATGAATGCGTACCGACAGGGACCGGTAAGGTCTGGTTTCAGTCTCACCACCAACTTTCCAATCTTCTTACTCACCAACCACAGTGATGCATTTGCCCTTGGAGATGCCAGTGAGGGTTCATCTGTGCTTTTCGCGATGGTATACACACCCACCTTGTTCATCATCGGTGCCACGAAGTACAACACCGACGTGACAAGGTTAGTCTCAGGATTCGACCTGGAGCAGAGTAAGAACATTGCTCGGCCGTAGTGCGTGCGGATCTTGGGTACAAGAGTCGTGGCGTGCTCACCGTTGTATGTTTGAGCGAAAAACACCTTTCCACAAGGCGAGCCATCGTTTGCATCCCCAGAGTAGTTTCGGTTGCAGAAAAACACGAAGTGACTATCTGGAGGGCCTTCGATCTTTACACCACCAACTTGGTTTATTTCAAATTTCCAATTGTTTTTCATCTCATTGGACCCACATTTTCCACCAGGAACAGCGTCCAACTTCCAGTCATTCCCACTCCTTCGAATGTCTACCTGATAGCAGCAAGCGACAGGTGTGTTCTCGTCAGATCTGGATGTACTACATCCAATCAAGAAAGACGCCGTATCCTCGTTTGCATCCGCGATGGAAGTAAATCCGAGCTCCTGGAGACTTATCACAAGGATACCTTCTGGAGATGATTCCCTTTGCGGAAAGCGCCCTCCATGGGTGAAGATTGCCTGATTGGAAAACATAGTCACATTATGTCTACCATCTCTCATCTTCATGATCAGATCCCCGTCGTGATTCGTTTGAAGATCACTCGAGATAGAGGCTGCAGAGCCTCCATTATCCTTGGCTGCAGGTATACCTACCCCTGATGTCGAAATCAACTTTGTTTTAAACGAATTCGAGTTGTAACCGGATTGAACCATACTGAGCTGACTTTGGGCGGTGGACTGACGTTGGTGGGTGTGGAGCAGGATAGCTGCAGCGCCCCCATGACCAGCGTTCACGTTATAGGGTAGTTCCTTATCTTTAGGAAAGACATCCCCGTTGAACTCATCGAAGGAAATAGTTGGTGGTGCTTCTGATAGTGTGATAAATTTAAAAAAACAAAACAAGTATAATCAAAAGAATGTGATTAATTTCCAATGATTCATTTTGAATTAAAACGTAGGCTCACTTTTTCAAAACAGTACCCGAGCATTAAGGATGAATCAAATCATTCATTGCGTTGAAAAATTGACATGTACGTAGACTACGTACGACTGCGGCAAAACATAATTATGAGAGCCATTGTATTGCAACGTATAACCCCCATGTGCCCAATAACTGATAAACTAGCAAAGACTTCATACGGATGTAGAAAATGAAGTTGTTTTGGAGTTGTATACACCTATTAAAACTGAAGTAAATCGTTCGTCCTTTCAAGTTTCCCTTCCGTACTTTGTGGCAAAGCCAAGGAAAGGGCAAAGTAATATTATTGTCAAATTTGACTTCCCGAGGTTAAATCTGTCTTCTTTTCTAAGCATTGGCTATGTTTCTTCTTTTTCCATTTCATGATAGGCGGAGTACAACTCTTTACATAATAATCATTAATATCGTTACTCTTCCCTTTTGCATAAAACTATACACTAATCGATTCTTTCGTTTTAGAAACAACACGATTGCAAAGACATTCCAGAAACAACGGATAGGGCAATTCCTTGTCCATCATCTATTGAAATGTGGAAACAGATGACAATGACGTTTTACGTAAAGCCTTCATGATAATTTATATGGTAGATATACAAAACTGGGGGGGGGGATTTCCCGGGGGGGGGGGGGGTAATTGTCCTTGAGGGGGTAGTTTACCGGGGGTAAATTTTCAAGGGTGATTGTCCAGAGGCAGGGGGTAATTGTCCTGATACGCTCGAAAGTCGTTGTGACCGGCTTACATACAGGAGCCGTGGAGGTGGGGGTATACTTACTGAAATAAGCTGCCATCGTGGAGGTAAACAAGCCCGCCTTCGTGTTGTGGCCCGTCCTTTGCGTTCTCCCAAATCTGTTTTATCAAACCAGAGAAGAAGATGTCAAATACATTCATGCAGCGTTTATTGATTATTGCTTTCGGGAAACAAAACCCTTTGTGAAATGTTTTGATCCCAATCCGTATTGAGTCAGAAAAAAGGTGACAAAAATGAAATATTTCGCTCTATTTTAGCCCTTATCCAGTTTTGTTGATAACAAATTTTTCCAGAGTATTTTATCACTCAGAACACTATTGTTTATGTTGTGTAAGCTATAAAAAAATGAAACTAGGATGGAAGGTGAATTAAACAAAAATCTAAATTAAACACATTCTAGGGGGTAGATCTCTTTGATGAAGGAGTAGTTATTTATCGCTTTCTGATTGATCAAAATTATTAAAAATATTATTATTAATAAAAAAACAGCGACTTTTTCTCCTTCAAATAAAATATGTATACCATCAAATGCCTGCCATACACGCGCCCCCTTTTTGTAGACTTTTGGATTTGCCACTGCAAGTAAAACGTAATTTATCGGCTCATAATGCATTTTAGATAGGGAGAACAAAAGATGACAATGATTGTAATTGATCAAAGAAATCATAGGCTGAAGTAATCTTGTCTTTGTATACTTTTAAAGGGTTTATTTTATCTTCATTCTTCGAACAGTGTGAGTCTGAAAACTGGCCAGAGTTGTCGATCTGTAGCCTAATGAGTCGCATCACAGGCTTCACGAATTTAGTTTGAGCCACGAAAGTGCCCCAATAAGGCACCTATTTAAGATTTGTACGTTGACATAGTGGACTGCTACGTGTGGCGTCCCTTTTAAGGAACTATTAAGGCACTAGCGCCTTAAAAGGACGCTACACATAGCAGTCCACTATGTCAACGTGCAAATCTAAAAGTCCCTATTGCATGCTCCGAGCATGTAAACGGCTTCTACCTATAGCTAGACTCTCAAAGCAGGATGTCTTGATTATTGTCGAAATAACACGCGAATGGGAAAGTTGTGTACGTTACGATCTCAAGGAAGTTATAATGAGGTCATACAATTTCCCAGGTCAATGAAAAAATGTACCGATCTCCGACCAAGTATCTTCCTCTATATGCTGTACGACCATTCACACCACTGATAATGACACCACTTAGACAACAGAACGAATAAAATATCTCATTACCCGAATATCAAAGAATCGGTCTGTCTGGAGTCAGTGTTGATTCGGTGTGGAGTCGGATTTGAGTAAGAACGGCATTGTGACTGAGGCTCTTAACGTAGTAGTGCGTGTGGGTTAAAATGGAATAGACACCATTATACATACCTCAGTCACACCTTCATACCGACTCATGTACACCGACTCCAAATTGACCAATACTTCCTAACTCGGGGTATTGACGTACATGTAATTCTTTGTTCGGTCTCCTGTCGGTTTCTTTGGTGTGACCGGACCTCCTTGGTACAGTACTATTAGCTTAGCTTGCTCAAATGGTTATTTCAGTCGTGCATTATCGAGTATGTCCTTATTGCTAAAGTACACAATTAACAGTAAGGCCGCGTAATTAAGAATGTCGGATGTGACCTGTCCTCAGTTCCTATGCCAAAGACAGCAGTAATAGGCTGCGGGGAATAGGCCATTTTCGTAATGTAATCAACTTTAACACACAATTATTCGTAAAGTTCCTCGTTACAAATTATTTCATTCACCTGTTTTGAATAAGTGTATGTGAAAAGTGAGAATGCGAATGGCATACTTTACGTGTTGTTAGATAGGACAGGCCATAACGTTTGACCTACCTGGCAACAATCAATGTATGCAATTTGCATTCTGACTATCGAAATACAATTATTCATAACAGGTGAATGAAATAATTGGGTAACATGGCATTTAACTAAGATTCATGCATTAGATTTGATTAAATTACGATAAATGGTCTCGCAACATATCTTTCGCCCTAGCCTCTTGTTACGCTCTTCAATCCGCATGTCATTGTCATAACGATGGCTGTTATCATAATGACCATTATGTTTGTTTATTACCTATGACAGCCGTCCATATTATTAATCAGTAAACCGGGACAGGGCAGTCTACCTTGTACGTAGTCTAGCTACACAGACACCATTCAGATGTTTGGTAATATTCAAAGTAGTTGCTATACATGTAGATGAAGTAGTAGTACTAACAGAAGTAGTAGTAGTAGTAGTAGTAGTAGTAGTAGTAGTAGTAGTAGTAGTAGTAGAAGAAGTCTAGCCTAGTAATTAAGCCTAGTAATGATAATGATAATAATAATAATTATAATAATAACAATAATAACAACGCAAATTAAAAAAATCATGATATATGATATCAATAATTATAATAATAATAATAATAATACAACTGTTATTGATATAGTAATAATTGGTCCTTTTATACTGCATGTATCTGTCAAACACACCTGGCATGGTCCTTAATTGATGTATACTCTAATGAGTCTATATGCAAAGACTATTAAAGACTAGTCTTCATAGCCTAGAAAGGTGTAGAGTTCAAGTATAAATAGACAATCTTTCAAAATATACAGGATCTTTTTAAAACCGCAATATGATGGTAGTTTTTTTCTGTGACATAGCTATACTAGGCAACATCACACTGCTCGTACAATTATGTGGATCCAATACAAATAACGCCGTGCCGAAATATATGACAGACCTTTCACATTAGGGTTAGTATGAAGCATATACTTACTGTCAATATATTCCTGGAGACCTGTATGTAAGAGTGGCTCCGCCTGAGTTGGGGCCGACTTTCTTATCACCTCCTCGATGAGATCTCCCGTGCCTTTGTCTCCTCTATTTCCGCATTATTTTCTCACTGGCCTATATACAATAACATCGAAGTGCTCAGTTACAGTTACAGAATAGAGCGAAGGAATTATTAAAGCCGGCATACAATCATATGTATTCTGTCACCGCTCAGTGACTACAAACAAAACAAATATGCGTACAAACAGACAAAACAGGGGTTGGGCATATTTGTGTAGTAGGTCTCGTTACGTACCATCATACTACTCGATGCAGGCGCACAGTATATAAATATACACTACCATAGCTATATGGTACAGAGAGTTACGTCACCGGAAGCCGTGCTCGTTAGTAGCTGTATTATAGGTTACTTTCATGGAGCGTTGAAGTAGTTTTCCGGGTAGAGATTTTGTCCTAACTAATTCTTTTTACCGATATACTCAAATTAGCACTTCTCAATTTTCATATCCGGGTGTGGCAGGGTTTTAAATGGAGATCAAATGGCCTGGGGTCAGGGCCATAGTGTTGTTAGTAAACTTCCATACGTAGCACCATAGATCACTGGACAATACCAACAATACTCCAAAAATACTACAAAAATACTAACACTAATACTTATACATTATTTCCGGCATAACCGGAGCAGAATTAAGTTTTACCTTTTATTAAATAAAGAAAGGCGAAACACTTTTTGTAATTGAAATGTATTTTGTTTATTTCAATTCGTGTGGTTATCAATGACTAAGTGAACATTTAGAGGAAAAATCAGGGAACAAATATGATTAAACAAACACAAACTTTATGTACTAGCTCGTTACTCGTAATCGTTCATATCAATAAAGTCGAAGCAATTTTTGTAATTGAATTTTACAAACTTTTATTTCATTTCGTGTCAGTATATCAATGAATAAATTGAACGTTTACAGGAGAAAATGATGAAAGAACAACAAAGTACAAAGCACATATGCATGAACTTAATTTTGTACTTATAAGTCTTAAAGTAAATATAGTCGATGCACATTTTTGTGAACTTAAAGTGTGTTCAGTTTTATTTTAATTCGTGTGAATTACAAAGACTAAGTACATGTTGAGAGGAGAGAATGATGAAACACAGAAAATGACAAAATAAATGATACATTTACTTTTAACGTCAATAATATAGTTTTATCATTCATATATTGTTAGCACCAGGCCCTGTTTCACGATTTCCACGAATACACCAGTTTACAGTTGTGTGCGCCATTTTAAACAAAGCCAATGACCTAGAGGTCATGTATTTATGCGTAAATTAAGATTGCGCCCATGCAAATTATGATGATATCACTGCCTGCGCGCTGCGTTGTGCGCGCATATCATCATTTGCATGGGCGCAATCTTAATTTACGCATAAATACCAGAGGTCAGAGGTTATTGGCCCCAATTTTGGGGCCAATAACCTCTGACCTCTGTCTGCTCATGCGCACTGATACAACTGTAAACTGGTGTATTTCTTTTGAATAGACATTGCCAGATCAAGTGCAATAATTAGCCTTTATCCATGATTGTTGCCTGCTGTTTGTGGCGAATTTTATGAGACAGGGCTCTGATAACATCCATGTATATACATTTAAATGATACATAATTGGATTTTAACAATATAGCTGAATGGAATCACCAAATAACTTGCAAAACTTTTTATATTAAAATATCTACGCAAAGAATGAACCATTCAAGGTTTCCTTTTGATAAAGTATTTACATTGATAACTAATTGAAATAGAGATGACAGACAATGAAGAAAATTGAAAGAAGTCTATGAAATTTAGATATGTGCCATTATTTATACTAAAACACATCAGAAAGATTAAAAAGTACATACTTGTACTCTAAGATTTTTAATCTTTACTTGTTATATCTTTATGACTACTTGCACTTCCGAGACCAACATAAAAAGGCACAAAATCATTTTAAAAAGATATGAATAACAATCACATTGCAAAGTACAATACAATGACATGTGAATTAAATTGCAATGAAGACATCTAACTATATACATACATTTGTAATTGATTATTCAATACTCAATATGAAAAGTAATTACTTCGTAATGAACAATGAAAATGTGAAAGGTGATGCTAACAAATAGATAAGATGAAGGAAACTTTTTTTTTTTTTACTTGTTTGTTGTTGTTTAGGACTACTTCACCACACTGTAATCTCGTTAATTAAAAGAAATATATCCTGATTCATAGCCCGAATGGTAGTGAGCAAACAGAAGGAGTTTGAGTCGACCCTCTTCTTATGAGGGGGGGGGGGACGTGAGAGCAGAAAAATGGGAGAAACAAATTAGTGAAAGTTTGGACAAACTGTGAAAATAATATATAATGCACACATACACAATTTATAATTCAAATATTAGCAGATATCTATAGAAGCGCCATTTTTGCTATATTTGTAACGTAATTATGAACAACCGTAAACTTTAATACTAACGTCTGTTTTACTAAGTCTTTTTGTAAAATAATCCCCTTGGTGTGTGTGTGTGTTTTTTTTGTTTTTTTTTTGCTAGTTTACAGGATAGATCACTTATCATCATGAGCTAATGTAAAACAAAATGGGTAAATTTGTGTAATCGTTAGTCTCAGTCAGTGGCTGTATTTACGAACGATGGTGCTTTGAGTTATGAGGATTATAGCACCTGATTAATATTTTCACTTCTTACTTATTTGGGGATTTATGTCACACAGAAAATATGTATTTTTACTCAGATACATAAGTCGTAAGTAATGTTTGTAATCATTTCTACAACAAAAAAGTGTTACCAACACTACTACTACTTTATATTACTGCTTATACCATGACACCGATACTGCTGCTTAGACATAATGGTGAAACACATTACATCAATCATTCTTAACCATTTTTTTTCCTGACTGGTCACAAACAACAGGTGCACATTGGTGAGCTTAATAATACTATATTAGTACAAAAGAACAGACATAATTGCAAACATTTTTAATGGAAAGGAGGAACACGTTACTGAACGGCAACAAGTATTACAATATGGGGGGGGGGGGTATATTTGCTCAGTACACAATACTTGGAGGACGGAATGTCTCTCTTATAGTTAATTCAATGATATTTAACTCCTCTGACAGCTGAACTTTTATTTCACCGACCCGACGCATCTCTTAATCTAATGACGCGAGTCTTTTGTATGACACTTTTCCCGTTACAATAGCTCCACGTTTAATAGCAAAACAATAAATTGGTTACGTCAACCCTATGCCTAAACCTACCCCTAATTTATGAACCTAACATGATAGAGCCCCTCGCAACCTTATCCAAATCCCAATTACACACGGGGCGTTATTTCACTGACGTATCATTGCGTCAGCGAATGGCGCGCTTATATGACCTCATAAGAATGATATCCTACACAGTGTGGCGTTGCGTTGAATGACGGGTGCATTCGAACAATGTTATATATGGGCTCTATTAGCGCAGGTAATAACGCAAGCAAAATGACGCCCCATGTGAGATGGGTTTAACCCTAGAGGTTTTTGACGCAATAACACCTGGAGCAAGTGTCGCCGGAGCAAAAACTTGGATCAACCACCAGTCTGCTACTGTTGATGGGACGAATTTGGTAGGCATTATTTAATCAGTCGTAAAGGCATATTGTTTCTTACAATAGACACAACTCTAACCCTTACCCTAGCTCTAGCTCTCATCCTAACCCGTAACCTACCCCTACCTGATGGACACGGTACACTTTAGAAAATTGATACAAATTAGCTACCTCAAGTACATGTAAATTACGGTGTGGTTATTGGCAGAAACATGCTTGCCCCTACGACTGATTAGATAATGCCTACCCTGACGATGGGACGAATTTTGCGACATGTAATCTCGTCCATCAGTCACCACCTCCGTCGCTGTCACCACCTCCACCACCGCCACCGCCGCCACCACCTCCACTGCTATAACCGCCACCCCCTCCACCGCTGTGACCCCCCACCACCGCCACCGCCACCTCCACCACTACTGTAACTGTGGCTATGATCCGGGCTCGTTTCTGGGGAATAAGAAGCGACAATTTTAGTGTTAGTAATTAAGCAAGTCGTAGTTACGAATATTAGAGACTTTTAGATTGAGTGGACGAGAACACGACGAACGCCGACTAATCATGCGTGTCAACGTTCTTAACTGCCCATGTTGGCTACAATAGGCCATTTTCGTAATGTAACCAAATTTAATGCATAAGTCTTTGTGAAGTGCCTCAATACAAATTATTTCATTCACCTGATAAGAATAATAGTATTTCAATAGACAGAATCTGAACTGCATACATTAGTTGTTGCCAGGTTGGACAAACATTATGGCTTGACCTACCTAGCAACACTTAATATATTTAGCTGCATTCTAACTATTGAAATACTATTATTCTTATCAGGTGAATGAAATAATTTGTATTGAGGCACTTCACAAAGACTTATGCATTAAATTTGGTTACATTACGAAACTGGCCTATTGGAAATCTTTTAGATTGCACTCGACGATATGCATGCAGGAAGTAACACAATAAACATCACGTACAAAGAAAGAGGACAAAATATACAGTTCCTCATTCTACCCTCAACAAAAGAACATCCCTTCACTGCTAATATGTAAATATGTGTAGAACAGGTGAATATGCATGTGACACCTGTTCTACACATTTTTACATAATAACAGGAAAAGGGATGTTCCTTTGTCTACATGAGGAACTGTATATTTTATGCGCACGCGGCATACTAGTACCTTTCAGCATGTAAAGGCGCTATATAAATGTCAATATGTATGCATGTACTAGATTTAGGAAAATCAAGGTTGACGCATTCTCGATCGCCGACTGAGACGACATAACGCATGCGCAGTGCCTTAAAATGACGTCACACATTGCAGTCAAAGCTGTCGACATGCAAATCTAAAAGTCCCTTTTATCACTATCATAAACAGTAGTAGCAGTAGAAGTAATTGTGGCAGTTGTACTGGTAGTAACTGTGGCGGCTGTAGTAGTAGTAGTAGTAGTAGTAGTAGTAGTAGTAGTAGTAGTAGTAGTTGTAGTAGTAGTAGGAGGAGGAGAAGGAGTAGGAAGAGTACAAACAGTAGGAGGTGTAGAAAAAGTAGAAGAAGAAGGAAAAGAAGAAGGATAACAACAACATTATACATACCATTCTTTTCAGGCGTGTCTTCTTCCGATAAAACAAAGTTATCATCTAACGAGAGCAAAAGGGAGAGGGAAAGAAGGGTAAAAGGGATCACGTTGCTCAATGATTATGTGTTGAAGTTCGGGCGTCCACAGAGCAAACATCATGACCTAAGACTATTCTGGCAGACATCATGGCCAAGACTATTCTGGAGTATAAATTGATTTGATCGAGGCAAGGCACATGCAGAAAATGACAACGACTCCACTGCCCACACCCCACCCCTCCCCATCCCAGGCGCGCCATCATCCCCCCTCCCAAGAAATGTATTCTTCTAAAATCGCGCCTGCAACATGTACTAAAACAGACAAACGGTTTTATCCTGGCAATTTTAGAACTATTTAGAAGCATTGTGCACAACAACCTCTTAAGAAACATCCGATGTCGTGGAAATACCATGTAGTTGGCACATAATGATTAAACTACTTGTTTCTTTTCATGTCCAGCTATTTTCTGACCTGTTCCAGTCGTTGTCTTAGGCTCTCCCGCTCTTGGTGCTTTAGGTCCTCCCGCTCTCCGCTCGTCATCCTCTGCCATGCTCCCAGCTGGTTTCTTGATGAGATCTGAGTATCTGTACTCCAGTGTTGAATCCTTGCCTAATTAAGGATTCAAAGTGAAAAATTATGATAATTAAACATCAATTCGAATTACCGATATAGTATATACAACCACCCCGTCCTTTTCCAGACTTTGAGCATATTTCAGGGACCCGTTTCACAAAACTTGTCATTGGTGACAAATGACAGTCTTTGTTAAAAGCTAAAGAAATCCTTGCTTCTGATTGGCTATCGGCAGATTTGTCACTGATTTGTGCCATTCGTCATTAAAAAAAGGCTTTGTGAAACAGGTCCCTGTACTTCTGTGTTATGCCTGTCAAATTAAAATCACATCCGGGGAAAAAAGGGTGACAACCTCATTCGAGTTATTGGTACCCCCCCCCCCCCCCCCCCTGTCCAATCTTTCACTAATGTTGTGAGTCTGTACACAACCGGAACAGACAGCTTTTAAAAATCAGCTTTAACATTCAGGTAGCTTTAAAAGTCTAGACATGAATTTGAATTTGCCACTCTCCACCCAGGTGAAGTACATGGGTACGCGGTAAGAAGTAACTCCTTGAAAACTCTACTAAAGGCAGTTCCAATAGCCTTGTCCGTCACCTATTGTGATATGCGAGCATTGCAATGAGATATTACGAAACCTGAACGTGATTTCTATCCGATGTACAACAGGTTATTGAAAATGCCCTTTAGTTATTTTTTTTAAATAGTTGCGATAGTGTTAGTAGAGTATGTTTACAGTTAACGACTAAATTATTCATACTCTGAGCAATTTTTTTATTTTTTAAGTACGTGAAAAACGTATGTTTCTTGAGAATGTGATATATTAAAGCTTACATCTGAAAGTACTCATCAAAAGCCCTAATTCAACCAGTCCACATTTCATTTATTTCATGAGTTACGACAGAACACAAAAACATAACCTTTTATAAGGGGTATGAATATTTAACTGTGTGTAGCAGCTGCGCTCTTTGAATGTCCATATTATTAGTAGTATTATGATTGTTATTAAAATGACTTTTCCGCTACTATTTACCTTGATCACGTCTCTTAACGTAAACCACGTAGACCATGAAAAGACCGAACATGCACACGAACGCGCATGCGACGACGATCCCGATTATCAAACCTACATGAAGGACGAGGAATAATGGAAATGACATCAATAAAAACAGTGGAATATCCTTTTCATCACTCACATCCTGATGACCGTCATCATAGCGAATATCAGGAACATCATCATTATCAACGAAATAATCATGGTGTACGATTTAATCATCCTCAATGGCATAGTCATCTTCATAACCATCATTATCGTCGTTGTGGTCATCATCATCTCCATCATCATCGTCATCCTCATAGTCAACATAGTCATCATCATCATCTTCATCATCATCATCATCATCATCATCATCATCATCCTCATAATCAACATAATCATCATCGTCATCATAATTATTCTTGCAGTCAACATAATAATCGTCATCATTATCAACATCATCCTCATAGTCATCATTACCATCATCATCATTATCAATATCGTCATCATCATAATCTTTAACATGCAAGGAAGATGAAGATTTCCCAAAATGACAGGAAGAAATTTTTATTGTTGATATTCGCATCGTACTCATCAACAGCACCATCGCTATCCTCACCACTTTGAATATCATGATCATCTAAAAATATTACTAATATCATAATGTAACTCGATACAAGCATCTTCTATCATCAGTATCATTCTAACCATCATCATAATCATCATCGTCGTCATCATTATTATTATCACAATTAAGTGCATAATCCTTATCATCATCAATATCATCACCACCATCACTGTCACGTTCATGGTAACTTTTATCATTATCATAACTAAATTCTTAACATTATTTGAACCCTATTCATCATCGCCATTATCATCATCGACATCATTTTATCATCATCAATGACATTTTAATCATCATCAACATCATCCCAACCACCCCATGTTGTATGATCACCGCCATCACATTCAGGATCACTATCATTTTTATAATGATCAAACCCCCATTCCTATCATTATTTTGACAAAGATTATCGTTATTATCATCACCACTATCAATATCTTCCTAATTACAACCATAATCCACTGGAATTTATGTTAAACGGTCGATCATTCCGTTATTAATAGTCATAAAGAGACAAACATGGTATTAATTTGTTTGTAAAAATATGTGGAATATTATGAAAGAAAAAAAATGGCGATTCTATGTTGGGTAATAGTTTAACGCACGAAAACGCGCGCGCATGCGCGTGTGCGCGATTTTTTATAAAATGCTTAGAATGGCCTAAAACGTATGCAAAATGATTTTGAGACGATTTTGAGCATTTTGATATTTTGCGCGCGCATTGACGCGCGGAGGTACGTGCACGCGCGCGTTCTTTGACCTGAAATTGACCGGACGGATATTGACCTTGATCATGATAAATATGAATGAGAAATAGCTTTTGGTTATGAAGATATGATCATTAGTTGATTTTCGTAAAATTTTACAAAATGGCGGCTAGATGACGTCATCAGCAAAGGTCAATGTTAAAAACGCTATTGTGCTTTTTACATATGCCTATACATATGTGTGCCAAATTTGAAGGCATTTGATTGAAGCATTTTTAAATAATCGTGCTTATAAAAAAGTGGTTAGAAATAAGAAAAATAAACTAGATTTGTAATACTTGTTTGGAACAAGTATAGGTGGGCTGATCGAACAAAAAATTGAGACAAAATAAAGGGCACACTTACGATAGCTTATTGTCTCAGCTACAACATACTCAAAGCTCAGCGTAAACAAAGATAAAACGACGGAGATATTGCCCGCGAAAGACGAGAATGTAGAATCCAGTTTTGAGAAAAAGTCATGTCCAATAGAGAATACACGCAAAATGTGAAAAATTGACATGCCTCCTTTAATCGCAAAAATACGCCATGATGCCATTGTCAAAATGAAATATTGTGGATACTGCATTTGTAGAAAATATTCTCAGGTAGAACATATCAAAATTTGAAAGAAATTTGATCGATATTTACAGAGATACAATCAATTTTCCAAAAATCTGCTGACGTCATAATATGCAAATTGAAATT